TATGGCTGTTTTATACCTCTGAATCAGTTCCTCACTCCTGACTCGACCAACATCATTTCCTCCCACGCTAATGCAAATAATGGGATTGTTCCCATTACCAGCCATAATATCATTCATGTTGTTTATAATATCACCAATGCCAGCTCCGGGATAGCAAACCCTTAACCTGTTCCCCCTATCTCTAGCACAAAACGTTCTATCCAAATACCTTATCTGGGAATCTCCCACAACTAATGTTTGCTTAGGTACTTCCTTTACTTTCTGAGGGGCCTGCGCTTCCTTTCTCTTCGTTGCTTTCCCTTTTGCGCGATCCACAGTCTCTTCACAGCACTCGTCCTCCAAAACGTCAAATGAATTTGAAGTTGCTATGGCGTTTGAAGGCGGCTTTATCAAAGTCTTCTTAAGGCCCCTGTCTTTCGCAACTCTCCAAGACGAGGTCCCTTTACTGCTGGTCTCCTCCTTCGTTACTTCTCGTTGTTTTTTAAGCTGACGCACCTCCTCCCGCAGAGAGTCCAACTCTGTCCTCAGGGCTCCCACTAGAGTCACCAGGTCCTTCACTACAACTTCCATATTGCTATGATAATATAACAATTTTGGAGAAGTGATTTTTGATTTACCTCCAACAGTGAAGCATAATGTACGAAAGATTGAGAAAATTCGTGTTAGAATTATTAATCTTACTTTTTCGGTCATATTTAATAAAATATATATATATATATATATAAAGGGATGAGGTAGCTCAAGCTATTCTCACCGTCTTCAGTACAACGTATTCATATTTATATAGACACATCACAAACAGTAAGCATATAAGCATGCGAAATAATTTGAAAGAACATTGACAAACTAAAAGACTACAAAATCCCAGGTGTGGATGGAATACAATCCAAAGTCTTAAAGGAACTGGCAGAAGAACTTAGCCTGCCGCTGAAACTACTTTTTCACAAAACCTCTTGACCAAGGGTGATCTATCTATCATCATACTATCATGCAAGAGAAACCACACATCTATGGATCGTCCAATAAAATCAGCAGGCTTCCAGATGTTACTACTGCCCGTCTTAGACTCTGTTACAAGTATCTCTGGGAATTTTCATTGTTTGATGAAGTAGACCAAAGGTGTATTTCAGGTCTACTTGTCGAAGGTCCAAGGAAGAACCTCCGACAAGCGGCCGACTTTCTGCCCTCGTCGAGGTCACTAGGGCTAGGGGCCCTCAGCTAGATCAAGTAAGAATAAATAGATAAATATTATTTGCGTGAATGCATTGGTTATCACATACGAATATATATTTAGTGTCTCACAAATTTACTAGACAAGGGTTCCTCAAATGCAAGTCACCTGTCAATACGTATATTCTATAAATATACAAACCTAAGGAGTACGGACACCGTATAGTCACTGGTAGGCAAGTACAGTACTGCAGTTACCGGCGGACAGCTCGGTTGGTCTCTGTGCTCGCTAGCAGTTCTCTCTTATCTCCCCCGTGTTGTAGGGGGGACCCAAGGTGGTTCTCTCTTATCTCCCCCGTGTTGTAGGGGGGACCCAAGGCGGTTCTCTACTCTCCCCTGTGTTGTAGGGGGGACCCAAGGAGGTTCTCTCTAATCTCCCCCGTGTTGTAGGGGAGACCCAAGGTGGTTCTCTCTAATCTCCCCTGTGTTGTAGGGGGGACCCAAGGTGGTTCTCTCTAATCTCCCCTGTGTTGTAGGGGGGACCCAAGGTGGTTCTCTCTAATCTCCCCTGTGTTGTAGGGGGGACCCAAGGTGGTTCTCTCTAATCTCCCCTGTGTTGTAGGGGGGACCCAAGGTGGTTCTCTCTAATCTCCCCTGTGTTGTAGGGGGGACCCAAGGTGGTTCTCTCTAATCTCCCCCGTGTTGTAGGGGGGACCCAAGGTGGTTCTCTCTAATCTCCCCCGTGTTGTAGGGGGGACCCAAGGTGGTTCTCTCTAATCTCCCCCGTGTTGTAGGGGGGACCCAAGGTGGTTCTCTCTAATCTCCCCTGTGTTGTAGGGGGGACCCAAGGTGGTTCTCTCTAATCTCCCCTGTGTTGTAGGGGGGACCCAAGGTGGTTCTCTCTAATCTCCCCTGTGTTGTAGGGGGGACCCAAGGTGGTTCTCTCTAATCTCCCCTGTGTTGTAGGGGGGGACCCAAGGTGGTTCTCTCTAATCTCCCCTGTGTTGTAGGGGGGACCCAAGGTGGTTCTCTCTAATCTCCCCTGTGTTGTAGGGGGGACCCAAGGTGGTTCTCTCTAATCTCCCCTGTGTTGTAGGGGGGACCCAAGGTGGTTCTCTCTAATCTCCCCTGTGTTGTAGGGGGGACCCAAGGTGGTTCTCTCTAATCTCCCCTGTGTTGTAGGGGGGACCCAAGGTGGTTCTCTCTAATCTCCCCTGTGTTGTAGGGGGGACCCAAGGTGATTCTCTCTAATCTCCCCTGTGTTGTAGGGGGGGCCCAAGGTAGTTCTCTCTAATCTCACCCGTGTTGTAGGGGGGACCCAAGGCAGCTCTCTCTAATCTCACCCGTGTTGTAGGGGGGACCCAAGGCAGCTCTCTCTAATCTCACCCGTGTTGTAGGGGGGACCCAAGGTGGTTCATTTGTTTTCTTGAGAGCAGGAAGCCTGTACTCACCTAGTTGTGCTTGCTGGGGTTGAGCTTTGGCTCTTTGGTCTCTCCTCTCAACTGTCAATCACCTGTGTATATATTTCATTCACAGAAACGGTGGTGGTTGTCACTGGTGTAAGTTATAAATTATTGTAGGAAGTGACTCCATATAGAGATGAAATTTAACAAGAACATAATTATTTTGTTTTATATACATAATAGTTCTTACATTCTTGTAAAGCCATTAGCACACACAGCCTATTAACAATGTCAAAGGCCTTTTGAAGGTCAAAGTCTTATTGGGTATTAACTTTTGTCAAGAGCCTCGTGTATAAACTCAAAGAGTCGAGCATCAATATTAGTGCATCATTGGTGTACAGAGTATCTGCACTAATCCCCTGATCTACTACAGTAAGTCAGATATACTAGCCTAACGACATTTTGTCTTGGGTTTTATTATGCATCACTATTTAATTTTTCCCCCCATATACCTGGGTTCAATTCCCAGGAGGGACAGAAATGTATGGGTATGTTTTCTTTATGCCTAAATTCACCTACTAAATAGGTACCTGGAAGTTAGGAAACTGTTGTGGAGTTAGATTCTAGGGAAGTTAGTTTAGTCATTATTTATATAATAATAATTCATTGTGTCTGGGGACAGGTAGCCAGAGTGTATTCATACACGTTTGGCTTCGTCAAATCATTAAGGTTCCTTCCCCCCCCCCACCTCCCACAAAGCCGAATTATTGACCCCGCCCAGGTTGCAATCCCAAACAAGTTGACTAACTACTGAGTACCTACTTACTGCTAGGTGAACAGACCCATTAGGTGAAAGGAAGTGTGCCCAACCATTTCTGTCCCGCCCGAGATTCGATCCCGCAATTCTCGAGTGCGCGTCGAGAACGAACCCGAGTACTACCAGGACCCTCAAATTATGGGCACCTATACCCATCCTGTGGGCAGTAGTAGAAAGAGTTACAGAGGCACGTAATGGGTTTAACCTGAATTTACCTGAGGGCCACTAACACACTAGTGGCCTTGATTAGGACAGGAAGCCGGCAGCTTGTCAATGGTCCCCCCCCTCACCATCTGGCCCGAGTATTTTTTCTAGCTTTATTTTAAAATTCGATAGCTTTGGCATTAACGGCTTCGGCGGGTAGGCAGTTCCATGGGTTAATAAAAAAAAAAAAGGTGAAAAATCATATCCTGTTTTCAGTCCTACATTGTGGCTTGTTGAGTTTGAAACCGTTGCTCCTTGTTTGTGTTACATCTGAACCTTTTGAAGAAATTTGTATAATCACTGTGTGAGAGGACAATCAGTATATACACACAATACAGTATATACACGAGGCCCCTGGTGGGGGCCTCGTAGCCTGGTGGATAGCGCGCAGGACTCGTAATTCTGTGGCGCGGGTTCGATTCCCGCACGAGGCAGAAACAAATGGGCAAAGTTTCTTTCACCCTAAGTGCCCCTGTTACCTAGCAGTAAATAGGTACCTGGGAGTTAGTCAGCTGTCACGGGCTGCTTCCTGGGGTGTGTGTGTGGTGTGGGGAAAAAAAAAAAAAAAAGTAGTTAGTAAACAGTTGATTGACAGTTGAGAGGCGGGCCGAAAGAGCAAAGCTCAACCCTCGCAAAAACACAACTAGTAAACACACAGTACATGTTAGGCTCATATTTAGGTTCCTCTCCCTCCCCCCCCCTCAAGGGTTGAATTACACACCCTCCCCAGGATGCAACCCCACAACAAGCTGACTAATTCCAAGGTATCTATTCACTGCTAGATGGACAGGAGCATTAGGTGAAGGAAATACACCATTTCCTCTCTGGACCACGACACTGAGGCGCTGGAACAGGAAACTGGCTGCTCTTGAGTCTTTAGTTTTCCTAATTTAACTTCCTATATATACAGTATATATACTATATATACACAGTATAAATAAACAACAGTGAAATATTATATGTAAATAGCTTAGTGCTTTCAACTCATTCGAGCCGTCATCAGATCTGAGCTAGTTCAGCTCTGATGACGGAGCCCGTCTTCCAAACAAATACCCAAAGTCCATTCCATGCACCCGCCAATCTCCCCTGTTAATGAATGAAAAACAGTTTATACATGTCTCACAACTGATGACGTTTGAATTCTTCCAGAATGAGTGCCTCACTGATGAATTTTGTTCGAACCACAACGTTGTAAATGCTTCACCCGCGTACTACAAATACATACTGTATATGCAAAAAATACACAAAAAATATGTGTATTTTTTGTCATGAATGTTTTCACCCAGCAAATGAAATGTAGCCTGTATATGATTTTTCAAATAATTTTTGTTTTGATATTGGTAGTCATATTATTACTTATTTGTTTATTATTAGCACACACTATTATAAATATTATATTCACTCAGCTCGGAAGAAAATGGCCAAGAAGACTAAACACCGCAAACCAAAGCACATGCTGTGGCCAAACTGGGACAGGAAGCGATATATAAAATTCAGGAATGACAAATTTCCCGGAAAGGTTACAAATATATCTGTTGCTGAATTAATTGAGCAAGCAAAGGATTCCATTCTGAAAGAAGTGCGAATTGGTGTGCGTTTTCCTCGAAAACGCATCACTGAAAGAATGAAGAAAAAATATCCATTCAGGAAGTACATCAGGAAGGAAGCAGCAAAACAATCCCAGGGCAAGAAACTTCCTAACCAAGAATTCGAGATGATCCCTAATGAAGAAAAAGACGTAAACACTGAAACACTGGTGAATGAGCTCAAGTGGACCCCACTAGACGCGGTCATGCCAGTCACCTTGTCAGATAACTATGGCGATCACTTTATTGGGGTGCGTATATCATCCATGATCCGGGCCAATGAAGCCATCACTCGTGTACTAGGTGTTCTCAGATCTCCGGAACAGCTTCTTCCTAACACATATTACCATTTATACCAAGTCTTCAGCCCAACTTGTGAGTACATATCTTTTCTTATTTTTTTATACAGTATTGCTATATTTTATATATATACCCAATATTTATCTATGATTGGATCTGTAAATAATCTATTTAAAATTATTTTGTACAAATAATGTTGAAAAATAATTTGGGATCTTGAAAGATGCACATACAATATATATTGCCTCTAACTCAGTCTTTTGACTATTCCTCTCAACACACTATGTATTTTAAACCATGTCTTTACCTTCATGTTCTTTGATGTTGCATGTAGACATAATAATGACATATGACAAAGTCAGCAGTCAAATATCTTTGGTCCCATTTTATTTTTCAAATTACAAATACGGAATTTGTTTGCTACAGATGACTCGAGTACAAACTATCTTGAGGCGTCTGCAGATTGGCATTTTGAAGCGTTGCTGTCAATGGCAACAATTGTATTGTGCACCAATAATCATCCTGAAAGCATGAGTTTACTGTGCATCCCGTACTCAATCTGTGAGCAGTAGTTTATTGTCAATTTATGGATAGGATGTTTACCCTGCAGCAATGATTATTAATTTTGTTTTCCTCGGGGTGAATAATTTCTTTTTAAACAGTTGCTTGATTTAATGCACTTATACTTTCTGGTGTTTTTTCTTCTTAGTTTTAGACTGACCTCTGTTCCATAAGCTTCCCTCTCCTTGTAGAGGATCAGATTGTGATCCCAGTTCGTGGTAGGCTCGAGTGGGTCTCAGTGGCCTGGTATGATTCACTAATACCCTGCAGTCCTGAGCAAATTTATCCAAGTAAATTGTGTACTTAGATGGCATCACAACAACAGAACATTGAGGTGCTATCTGTTTTATGTTGGATGAATACTTTTTATGGAGTACCTTGTCCAAAACCTTGTTTGTCAGAAATATTTGTCAGTAATATTCTGACAGTCACATACGATCACCTAAAAATTCATCCCCTATTCATATTTTTATTCAATAAATAAAAAACAAGTGTATACAAACATTGAAAAAACATATTACTAGCTTGAACAAATACAGTACAGTACATTATTCAGCCACTAAAACAGGAAATGGGAACTTTGTTATCTTGATTATTTATCAGCTACAAAAATAATGATGCAAGAACTGAGCCCTGTGGCACTTCACTAGTAACATTTCTCCAGTCTGATACATTGCCTCTGATTACTGCCCTCATTTTTGATCTGAAAATTTTTCATTCATGTCAGAAGTCTCTAGTATCTCACATTTTCCAGAACAACCTCTCATGTGGGACTGTTGAAATGTGTAAACTACATGGTGCTATACTGTACTGGCTCAGCACATCTTTGATACTTACATCTTAAGTGATCTTACTTCTAACTCATTATATGTTGCTCTTACTGATAATTCACTACATCATGCATCTTTAAGAATGCCTTTTATTCACAATTATACAATTATTTAATCTCATTTCCATACTCTGATTCTTACTTAAAATCTTTTAACTGTATATGCTCTAAGCTTTGTCTTGCAGCCACATACCTCTAATTAGGTATGTTGACATGATGATATATATTCAGGTATGCGCAAGATGCCACCGAATGAGAAGATTACGAAGTCACAGGTGATGGGTGTGCAGAATTACACTTACCTTGTGAGAAGAGACACAACACACTACAAGGTGAGCTGCTGAATTCATCTTTATTTGTGGTTTCCAGAGATGGGACAGTGTAAGATACTGTGCTGCATGATTGATAAGTTAATTTTCAGTTGTTGATTACAAATAATTCATAATTTTTTTACCTTATTAATATCACCACCACTATAAAATACAGCACTGCTGTTGCTGCTGCATTACTATCACAACCATCACTGTTATCTTAGTATTCTACTACTAATGATTACTGCTGCTACAAATGCTAATAATGCCTTTCAAAATTTCCAGGTGGAGGAAGACTTGACTTTGAGCTACTGTCGTGAACTGCTGGGGAAAAATAGGAGTCTGCAAGTGTGGCGTTTTCAGGAGATTAAGGAAGGCCGTCTAAGGGTGCTCAGAGCCAAGATCACAACCACTAATCAGATGGTAAGGTGACGTGCAGTTCAACTCACCAAGTCCATGAATCTGAGTTGGATAGAGAGAGAGAGAGAGGGGAAGGGGTCTATGGTTGACAGATGAAGTCCCCACCCTGCTTGACAGCCTGGTCTGGCTGCAGCCTTATGACAAGTGAGCTAACTCTTGCTCCTGCTCAATGTCAACCCTTCTGTCTGTTCTGTTCTGTCCCTTGAATGTCCAGTTCCCTGGGTATTTATGGGGGAACCGGGAGTTAAGCCCCGCCTACCAAGTAGATAGCCTCAGGCCATCTACCTACTACGCCTTAAACAGCGGCTTGTTTAAAATACACACTCAGCTACCTGTCTGCAATTATCGGCTTGGCGGAGAGTAAGGTCACTTGACACGACCTGACCCCTGGTCAACTCGTGATCATTAACTTCTCTGGGTGTGACTTCTTAATTGATCATGGCCGTCAGTCTGGCAACACCAAATGTCCTGCGTGACTGACTCATGTTGTTTAATAAAATATAAAACACCTTTATGGTGTTACACTGTCAGTTCTTTGTAAATGCCAAAACTGTATTAAGTTTTAAAATCTACCTGAAAAAGATCGTCAAGGCAATATCAAGGCAAATAGGGGGACCTTCCTGTCCTCAACAAGGTCACTAGGGTTAGTGGCCTAGTGGCCTCAGGAAAATCAGGTAAAAATCCGGAAAGATAAACAGTTCTTGGCTTGCAGAATTTGCATAGGAATGTTAGTTATTCCTATTGAATTCTAAACTTTTGTCTTGGTTAATGAAAAAGTAGGAGTATTTCCCTAGACAGGATGATGAAAGAAAGACAAATTGATAGGACTAAGGACAGACATGACAAGGCTGATCTCATCAAAATATAAAATACTTAATTAACACACAATCTTGTAATGAACATATGAACCTCGCATATAATTTTCCTATCTGTTTCAGTTGTGGCTGCTGAAGATGCTGAAGAACAGAGCATTTAGGTCTAGTATAAATAACATGACCCAGGAAGAGGTCACACAGCTTCTTATGGCAATTGGCTGTCCGAGCGATCCAATGGCCAATCTTTACAAGAAGGAAAAGCTACAAGAGCCACAGATGGTAAGTTGACCTCAAGAAGTTAATGGATTTTAATTAAAAAAAATAGTTGGGAATAATTATATGTAGGTGTGAGCCACTGGTAGATGATTAATGTGATTCAAAGGTGGCCGTGGGAGGCTTGAATGAGTGTTGGATACACACAGAAATCACAATAGCTTGATGCATCAGATGAACAAATCCACAAGGGCCGTGACGAGGGTTCGAACCTACGTCCGAGAGGATCCCAGATGCTGCCGTCAGTAGAACTTCCAATTGCAATTCTTTTACCATGTCATAGCTCAGTCGATTAAGGCAGCATCTGGGATCCTCTCGGATGTAGGTTCAAACCTATGAGTCAAGCAAGGTCATGGCCTTTGTGGATTTGTTCAGAGTTGGGTATTTTGGGAGTATAGATCAGTAGATGTGACTCAAAGAAGGATGTAGCCAACTAGAAAAATAGACTCAGGTGCTGTCAGATAAATGGTAGTGCAACTCATTGAAAGAGGCACAAGAAAGGTACATGGATGTGTGGGGCTCAAAATCAGTCAAAAATGGAACTATGGGACCATATTAGTTACACCTTGCTACAGTACTGTATAGAGTGGAGGATAATGGGATGTACTGAGGCAGTGGGTCATATTACCGTGGGCACTCACCTACCAAACTGTTCATTGGTAAAACTTTCATTACCTGCTCATGTGCCAAAATTAAATTGCAACTAGTTTATCACTACTGTAACATGTTTTTCCAAATTTTTCCAAAATGACGATTCTTCGCGGCAGGGGATCGTATTCCAGGGACCATAGGATTAAGGACTTGCCCGAAACGCTAGTACGCGTACTAGTGGCTGTACAAGAATGTAACAACTCTTGTATATATCTCAAAACAAAAAAAAATTAACATTTTAATTAAGTTTCTGAGCTTATTGTGTGTCACAAGATGGATATGAATTACGTAATATACTAATCAAATTAATGACGTATAAAGACAGTAAAAGATAAACAAAAGAAACTAGAATGTGAACACTATGGTACTTGTGAATGGTTATATTTTGTTATTACAGTACATTATTATTATTTATATTTACCTTAATTTACCTGAGGGCCAATATCTCTAGAAGTCTCATTATTCCTTAGGATTTTTTCTAGCTAAATTTTGAACTGGAGTACTGTCTTGGTATTTGCAGCTGGAGCAGGGAGGCAATTCTATGGGGTTGGAATTGTCTACTGTACTGGGAGACAACAATTTTAGAACACAAGTGCTTGGTCATTAGCTTAGTCAAAATTCAGTATTAAAGATATAGCTTTACTTACTTTAAAATACAGAGTACAGTAATGTCAAGACAACATGGTTCTGTTAAAAATAAATCCTGCCTTTCTAACCTGCTCACATTTTTGATAATGGTAACTAGCTATTAATTAAGACTTCCAGTAGATATAGTATACATGGCTTTTTCCAAAGCTTTAGATAATATACTATATGTGGCAAGGACATGGAATAAATAGCAATGCATCAGAATGGATAAAACAATGGTTAAAACAAAGAAGGCAAAGGGTCATCCTAAATGTATATGAATCTGACTGGGAAAATGTGGTGAGTGGAATACTGCAAAGTTCCATCTCGGGCCAACCCTTTTTGTCATATACATTAATGACATAGATGAGAATATTACAAACCACATCATCAGAGTTGCAGATAACTCTGCAACATCTAATGTAAATTATGAAGTAAAAATAATGGAAACCTTATAAGAGATCTACATGGCCTCCACAAATGGCCGGAAGACTGGCAAATGCTTTTTAATATTGAAAAACAATATTTGTAATATTGAAAAAGTCCTTGCATGTAGGGCATAATAATGCACATTACAACCATCAAGTCAACAGCACTACCATGCTCATTGATGAAGAAAAAGACCTAGAACCCCATGATCCACTAGTCATTGAAAGGTGCACAACATGGGAGAGCTGCAGGAAAAAAATAAAGCCAACCAAACCCTAGAAACAGTCAAATGAACCTTTGACTTCAAGGAAAGAAAATTGGTTATTTAATTACAGTATACAAATCTATGGTGTGCCCATATTTGGGTTACTGTATCCAAGAATGGTCTTACATTCTAAAGAACACATCTGTTTTGGAGAAAGTTCAACACAGTGACAAAAATCATCCCAGAATTAAGTCGATGCTCATACCAGGAACACTTGAGGCCCAAATGACTTACAACACTGTAAACAGGGACGTCTCATCAAAATTTTTAAAATACAGTACTGGACAAGTTTGGTATATTAATCCAGACTACTTTTCAAAAGGTCAACTGTAATGTACACAAGGGAAGAACAGCTTCAAGCTCAAGAAGCCAAGGACCAGAGCTAGAGCTCAACCCCCACAAGCACAACTAGGTGAGTACAATGCAGGACAGAAAACAAGAGATGCTTTTAAACTCATAGGGTTATAAATCCATGAAACCACTTACCTGTCGAAGTGGCTCTGCCATGGTCACTAGAGTTAGATGATATCAGATGCGTACAGGTAAAGGAAGCATTCATTCAGACATTTAGCCTCCATTTCTTGTCTTGGTCTCACCTCTTTCCAATCAGCTGTATTTCTCCACACTCACTCATTCACTTTTTCTTGTATTCTCACAGGATCAAGATGGTAGCAAGAAATATTACATCAAATTGCCCAGATGGCACTGGGGATGCAACAAGACCAAGCTAAGACCTCATTCTGTAATACGCTATCAGAATATTGTAAGTGACCTTCGCTGACTTTGTAATTTTAGTTAGTTCTTCATATATATATTTATGTATGTATGTTCTTGAATATGATAGAAAGGATGAGATTAATGATTCTACCATGAATCTTCTTTATATCTACCTCTGTACCAGGCAGTACAGTCAGGTCCATTCTTGATTCACAATCGAGAATTCCAGGTTCGAATCCCGGCCAGGACAGAAATTGTTGGGCAAATTTCCTATCACCTAATGTTCTTGTTCATCTGGAAGTAAATAGGAAGATCAGCTTGTTGTGGGGCTACATCCTGAACAGGATCAGTAGTTCGACCTTGGGGGGGGACCTTGATATAAGCCTAACATGTATATAACACTTGCTGCCTGTCCCCGACACAATGAATCATTATTAGTAATATATGCTTTTATGCTTTTTTTATGCTTTTCTCTTGAGAATGAAGTTCTTTCAAAGATCATTTTACAGTATTATTACAGTACTACTATTTAAAGTATTATTACAGTAGTATTATTTAGAGTATTATTACATTTCTCTTAGCCTGACACTAAGAGCATTTACCTTGAGTAAATTCTATATGTCAAGAGCCCCACAGCCTGGTCTCTGACCAGGCATCCTCTTTGATGGTCTAGTCAAGCAGGCTGTTAGATGCGGCTGCTCACAGCCTAGTTTATCAGGTATCTTTTGGAGGTGTTTATCGAGTTCTCTCTTGAACACTGTGAGGGGTCAGCCAGTTATGCCCCTTATTGGCAGTGGAAGCGTGTTGAACAGTCTCAGGCCTCAGATGTTGATAATTCTTTCTCAGAATACCTATTGCAACTCTGCTTTTCAACGGGGTATTCTGCACATCCTGCCATGTCTTTGGGTCTTATGTGATGTTATTTTTGTGTGTGTAGATTTGGAACCAGCCCCTCTATGCACACTTTTTTATTTTTGTCTTAAGCAATCACTAAAGTTATTTGATACCCAGGCTAATGTAGTATTGTGGTGATTGACTGAAGAAAATTGTGTACATTGCCTTTCACCCCATCAGAAAGACTTGAGTACTTACTGAAGGAGAAGCCAAAATGCAGTATCATACAGTACACACTATTGCTGGTCTCTCGAGCAATTTTCTCCATGAATGCAGATTGCGTTATGTAATTATGTATATTCTATATGCATTCCCTCTAAAACTTACTTTCACACTTTCCTTCACAGACACACAGTGCAAATGATCTTGAGGATAGACAGAAACATGGGAACCCTGACTATGGGTATCTGCAACGGTTTTGGCACTACTGTTCCAACAAAAATCTTTCAAAGGTTATGGAAATGTTGAAGACAGAGCTGCTAGACATGAATGAACAGTACACAACCTTGCTTTCCACTCCTCCTGAGACACTCTATGCTGAGGAAGAAAGTACACTGCTGGATTGCCTGGTGAGTTGAAGTATTGTGGCTGGTCCTATTTTGATCTATGAAGTTATACTACAGTATTGAAAGATTATAAATATTAAAATATGAACTGTTGCAAAAAACAGATTTTTTTTAAAAAGTGCCACCTTGGCAGCTTCCCAAACTAGTAGTACAGTAGTAGTAGTAGGCATCCGTCAGTCTCAGGAGACTATGGATTTGCCCTCTGGTTGTCGGTTTGAGGTGACCTCTCCAGGGCGCAAAGCCAGGGTAGGTTAATACAGGGGAGAAGCTGTCATCCATGCATCAGGTCACCCCCTCTCCACGGCTTCCCAAACTACAAATTGGTATACCTGTCAAACCCTTAGTACCACACCAGGTTATATCAATTCAGGATTAACTACTTGAGACCAATACCAAAGGGAAGGAGAGTCTGGGGGATCTAGGACCACCACAGTAGCCGAGAGAAAGTTCTCCAGAAAAGTAGAGCGCACCAAAACAGACAACTACAGTACTTGGATCACGTATGCAACACTGACCCCTAGCAATGTACATAATTGCTAACTGGACTGAACCACTGGTGAGACTACTTGGTAATGCTGGAATGAGCTACTAAAGTGTTGTTCTCAATAACATTTAATTTAATATACCAACATTATTGATACAGGATGGAGATTGGCAATTGTTGAGAAAATTATACAAATCTGGAAAAAAAAATTGAACCAGGACTAATGGATCTGAGACTGGATCAGGGACTGATCCAGAACAGATGAATGGACATAACAAAGGGGAATATTAATAGGGTATTAAAAGTATCAACACAAAATAGAACACGAAATAATGGGTATAAATTGGATAATTTTAGATTTAGTTTAAGTCCTGGGTAAATATTGGTTCGGTAACAGGGTTGTTGATTTGTGGAACCAATTACTGTGCAACATAATAGAAGTAGGATCCCTTGATTGTTTCAAGTATAGGTTACACATATATATATATATATATATATATATGAATGAGATTGTGTGGATATAAATAGGAGCTGCCTCATATGAGCTAATAGGCCTTTTTCAATTGCCTTCATTCTTATGTTCAGTATAATTTTTTTTTCAGTATGAGAATGAACTGAAGGCAGAAGAATCCCATAAAAAACATGAACAATTCTTGAAAACTCTTGAACGACAGCATAAGTCTACAAGCCGAGAGTACTTTTGCACTGTACAGAAAATGAGGACAGCGTGGGACCAGTACCAAAGGATAATGCTCAATTTTGAGAAGGATTTATTTATAGTAGGTTCTTATGTAACATCACTTACTGAATACATAGCAAGGGTGATTTGGCATAATATGAATGGGCGCTTAACTTTGGTTACTCCAACAATAAATAAAATTATGATACTCATTAAAAGGCTGAAGAGAGCATTACATCGTGCTTATCAACATATGAAAAAGGGCGAAGCTTTAAAGATGCAAGCTCAGGGTCCAAAAAAGAAAAAAATTAAAGGATTGATTAGAAAGAGCAGCGAGCCTTCTCAGAAGGTTCAAGTCAATCATTTTACCACTATCGCATCACAAAAAGATTTGGCGTTTACTCAGGTCAGACCCATTATGCTTCGAGACAATGCTAATGCGGTGAAAAGAAATAAAGAGGAAAAATTTGATCAGACTAATTACATTACAAAGAATGATGGAGCAGAAGCGACAAAATGTAATCAAGCAAATAATGGCATCTGTGAACTGAACAATGATGAAGTAGTGACAGGTAATAAACTTAAAATGAAAAAGGCTATTATTGATTACATACTGAGTGATGTGAGAAAAGACATCATTGTTAGACCTAAGGTTGCAGGCAGTGTACCACCACAAAAGAAAATTGCTAGACCTAGTGCTACAGGCACTGTATCACCACGTAAGAAAATTATACCAAAGAATAAGCAGAATGAACTAAAAGGTGAAGAAAGTACTACAGTGCCAGTGAATGATGAGGCTGAAGTGACAGCTGAAGGTGTCAATAAATGTACAAGTACTGTAGTTCCTGGAAAATCTTCATTTTATGTAATGCTTGAAAAGTTACTAGAAAGACAAAGAAAACATTTTAGATGCTGTATTAAAGGTCTATATTATCAGGAACTTGAAAAGTGGCATAAAATTTTGAAGAAAGCTGTTGTAATGAGAAGGGAAAAAGACCTTTCAGATGGTGAAAAGGAAGGATTGAAAATACGAAGAAGAATGCAAAAAGTGGATATAAATAAACCTTCATTTAAAAGAATGGGTAAAAAGAATCTGCAGCAAAGGACACATGCAGTCCAGTGTGAAATTAAAAGGAAAATAGAAGATCTTGTTCTGGGATATCAGGTTTGGGAATTATTAGATAAGGAAAATAAATTTAAAGTAGCCCAGAGATACAATGCTAAAAAAGTTTTTGACAAATTTAAGGAACTGATTTTAAGATTTGTGGGGACAAGAACAAAATCTATTAAGAGAAAGAGAGCTGGTACTGTGGCAGAGAATAAGAGAGCTGGTACTGTGGCAGAGACTAAGAGAGCTGGTACTGTGGCAGAGTGTACAAGAGCTGGTACTGTGGCAGAGACTAAGAGAGCTGGTACTGTGGCAGAGAGTAAGAGAGCTGGTACTGTGGCAGAGACTAAGAGAGCTGGTACTGTGGCAGAGACTAAGAGAGCTGGTACTGTGGCAGAGAGTAAGAGAGCTGGTACTGTGGCAGAGACTAAGAGAGCTGGTACTGTGGCAGAGACTAAGAGAGCTGGTACTGTGGCAGAGACTAAGAGAGCTGGTACTGTGGCAGAGACTAAGAGAGCTGGTACTGTGGCAGAGACTAAGAGAGCTGGTACTGTGGCAGAGACTAAGAGAGCTGGTACTGTGGCAGAGACTAAGAGAGCTGGTACTGTGGCAGAGACTAAGAGAGCTGGTACTGTGGCAGAGACTAAGAGAGCTGGTACTGTGGCAGAGACTAAGAGAGCTGGTACTGTGGCAGAGACTAAGAGAGCTGGTACTGTGGCAGAGACTAAGAGAGCTGGTAAGTAAATTGTGAGATAATTAAGGAAAACACAAAATTGTCTACTTGAAGATTTTATTTAATCTATGCCACGTAATATGCCCAGCTGTTATACAGTGCTTCCTGTTACTAAAAACAATTTGTTTTATTTTGAAAACTGGGTTTAATGTATATGGTTACCATTAATATAATTTTTATTCAACAGTTTATCAGGAAAATATAAATGTGCTGATTTTCAATATGTATATATATTGTGCATGTGTATATATATATGGCGGTACAGTATTTACATCTCTCTTCCTCAACTGTAACAAGGATAACATTATTTTGCTTATGAAGTTGGTTTAAAAAAAAAAAAAAGGCTCTGCAATAATTTTGGCCATACATGTGGATTTGTTTATATTGGATTTGGTTGAAAAATAGTAAATCTAAGAAAATGAGATCTTAACCAAAATTATATATTATTGTCTTTATTAACTAAAACAATCAGGATTACATTGTGTTTTATTTTCAGGAAATTTTTTTCTTCTCTTAGCAGAGATGATAATCCAGTGGAAATTTAGCAATGTACTGTACAAGGCATAGTATGCCACAGTTGTCGAGTTTTGTTATATGCATGTTTCTAATCGCAGGTACACCCTGAGGGTACACTCGAGACCTTGTGTCTGATCGCAGGTACACCCTGAGGGTACACTCGAGACCTTGTGTCTGATCGCAGGTACACCCTGAGGGTACACTCGAGACCTTGTGTCTGATCGCAGGTACACCCTGAGGGTACACTCGAGACCTTGTGTCTGATCGCAGGTACACCCTGAGGGTACACTCGAGACCTTGTGTCTGATTGCAGGTACACTCGAGGCCTTGTTTCTGATCGCAGGTACACCCTGAGAGTACACTCGAGGCCTTGTTTCTGATCGCAGGTACACCCTGAGGGTACACTCGAGGCCTTGTTTCTGATCCTACGGGGCATATTTAAGGGCTTGTTTCCAATTTCTGCATGTAAAATATGGCAAGTACCTAATCCTATGTGTACAAAAATACTATTAATTACATATACTATGAGCAAGATTTTACCGATGAGAATTTTATTCCTACAATAAGTTAATTCTTTCAAGACATTTTAAGTACAATTTAGTACTGTAGTACTTTTTCTTCTCAGTGTCAACTGTTGGCAAGCATAAAAAACAAAAATTGACGTGCTATTCAAATGAAACATGTCTTTGATCGATCATGGTGTCTGGGTTCCCAGCTGGTATTACCTCTCATGAATTTGAGGATACCACATTTAGGGATGCCATTTGTGCATGTTAGTCCCTTCTCTCCCCCAAAAACTTCCCTAATCAAATTTCTACTCAGTCATTCATAATGCAATCTGCAACCACTGGAAAAAATACGTGGCCAGGTATTGTGCTGCTTAACCACCACACTGTGCACCTGGTTTCGGCAAAAACTTCATAGTGCAATTGTTAATGACATTTTTGTTTTTAAAAATGTTCAGGTAAAGTTAATGTCAAAATGTTTCCAAACTCTCATTTTCATTTCAAAACACAGTGATGAAAACATTAAAAAACCTTAAAATATAGCCTAATTAAAAACAAATTGCACAACTCTCAAAGCGTCTTAAAGCGCTCTGCTCATTTGGGTGGTTAATCTTAAATGTGACCTATGTCTATGTAGCCCTCCTACCACCATAATAAATGGGAAACTGCACTGGCTCCATGCACATTTAACTTGTGGATACTAAACAGAACAACAGAACAAAGACACATTCCTTCTTGTCCAAACTGCATTGTTGTACGCCAGGTGCGCAGCACACCTGGCACTCACCCTCTACTGGATACACTCGCTGTATTGTCCTCAGCCGTGCTGCATCACTTGTATCCGACACTTGTGTTAGGTTGTTGTTATGCCTTGCTTCATCAATATCACTCCCTTTGTCTTCTTCAAACCATAAGGTCTGAATTTCAACATCAGAGAGCGATCTTTCGACACCGTATCTGACAGGATTGGGAGTTGGAGGCGTGCGTGCCAGCCATGGTTGCTCACTCGGAACCGAACTAACCCGCAACCCTGAGGCACGATGGAAATTTTTTTCAAAATGGCTGCTGCTCACTGAAGGTCTCGGGCGTCCATCTCGTACCCAGCCTACCGCGCACACGTTTTGAATCTTACGATATCCTAACATCACTCCTGAATCGGGTGGCACACCACCATGCCCCGTGTTATGTTGTGTGGCACAGTGCCTTGGTTAATACAATTTTTGGTGAATCCAAAACCTTAGACAGCGCTCATTTTTTCATTTTGCTCATATTGACATCCTGAATGGTATCTAGAAATTCCTTACCTTTGTGCCACAGTATCTTGCAAGTTTTTCATTAGTGCCTCTGATAATTACAGTACAGTACTGTATCTCAAATTCCTTGTAATTTTTCGTGTCGCTAATGTATTCGTTGCACTTCTGTAGTTTTATTGATCAAGACAACAAGGTGTATAACTGGCCAGCCGAGGTCCTAACCTACTCTGGGTCTGTGAGAGAACTGAGCCTGCTGCAAGCACGGCTGATGCTCCTCTGTCTGGCATGACGTCAGGCCTACTCGCCTGTGATTGGTTATGTCTCAACCGCCGTATAATTTGAGTATAACAAATGGTTTGTAGTGTGGTCATGTTATGCAGTCAATAGTTGGACAGTAATGCCTCAGACAAGGCATACATCTATTTACCAAGTCCCAGGATGGAAATTGGGGTTAATTTTTTGTTCCTTCCACATTATGGATGACTTAGAAACTTGTGGGAGTGAATGTCCCCATAAAACTAATGACAAATATTGTGAGGTGACCAAAATAATCCAGACTATTTTAGCCATAAGCCGAGTGCTGTGGGGAAAGGGTTAAGTAAGAAACCTTTCATTACATTCTAGCTCCAAATTGTATGGCACAACAGTACAGTATTGTAATATGGTTAATTAATTATAAGAAATTTCTACCATCCTTTAATATTCTCCATAATATATACATTGTTAACAAAAACTACAACAGTTTGTGCAAGGAGCTTTGTTGAAAGCAGCACCACTACACATTCTGCACAACCACACAGTATTGTGCTTCTCGGGTCCTGGGCCACCAGTCCCTCCAGATTGCAACTCAATATAGCTAATTGTAAATTTACATGTGGAATGTCTTAATCTACTGTCCATGTCATTACTAATATAACAATTTAATTACAAATGTAAAGTAAAAGAAAAACTAAGATACACAACATGGATAGATATATAGCACAAACATTAATCCTCATTATTAGTATAGTATTATTTCTCTACAGGCATTATACAAATTATACAGGGTACATCATCTATACTAGCTATACTGTAAAGTTGAACATGTACCACCCAACAAATATACATCATGGAAAGTGCAGCTATACAGCAAGTTGATCCAGCCTCTAAAAGTGCTGAAAACTATGTACGTAACCACAAATTTGATCAAGATAGCAGTTATTCTTATATATTTCATAAAAGAAACATTTCGTTTCAAACAAAATAGTATCGCTGATATTCAAAATAAAATGGGCAAGATTAAGTGTCGTCTCCATGAGTCATTTAGTAATAAAATAATCTCATTAAATTATTAGAGATAAATTACAATATTTACAGGGTGAAAAAGAAAAAAAAAAGAAAAAACTGCTTTAGGGTTTCAGAATATAAATACCTGTACTGTAAACACTTCTCAGACTAGACAGGTTTTTCAGCATGTGTTATGTGGATTGATGGGCTCTATCCATTAGTAGCAAAATTGATATTTCATGAAAAATGTGATATAGAGGCAAGAGACTAACCATACTATTTCCAACTATGATTTTAGAAAAATTAACCACAACAACCTGATTACTTATCACTATCAAGTAAACTTCAGTAATTTATTACATTTTTGAAATGCAATATTTATTTTATTTTCAAAATATAACTAATTGTATTTCCATGTTAATGTGTTTTCTATATTTTAAGTTCTGAAAATGGCATATTCTAACCCCAATGCCAAACATTGTTGCTAAAATGTAAAAGTAAGATTATTATTTCTTAAAAATATAAATTCCAGAAATATTGTATAAAACCCTAACATGCTTACTATAATTGAATGTTTCAGAATTTCTTGCCTTAAACTTAAATATGAGAGTTTAGGTGGAAGGTACTTTACAGAATAGGGATGTAGTTGTCAATCTTGGCTCTGTGCTTCTGGGCAATACACTCGGCAATCCAAACAATATTCCGGCACTCTTGTTCCTTCAGTTTGAGATATGCATAGAAGACACCAAAGTGGAACTGATGCAAGAAAGCATTAACATTCAACTTTACCTCGTGCTCAAAGAACTTGTCTTCCAGGGTCTTCTCGCCGGGATTGTTGCCAGCGCCCTCAAACAGTGCACGGTACTCCTGAGGTCAAACGTGTACATCTTCGTTACAAACTCAATATTATTACTGTAAATTACACACTAGTAAAAAATTTGTTTTAGAACAAAAACTAGAAATATTTTAATATGTTATTCCTTGCATTCAAACTGGATAAACAAACAGGTTAATATAGAGCAAAAAATTACCACATTAAAAGATGGACATTTGACCATTTTGTGTCTTTGATGACTTATACGAAGTGGCGCTTGGTGATTTCTCTGGCACATTATCAGTTTGGGGTCAGTAAAAGCTAATGAGATTATAATTAAGCTCCATAAAAAAAACTAACATTAGTGCAAACATTAATGTCTAGTGCACCCAAAGAGGCTGCTAAATACTAACAAAATGTGTGCTCTGAGGTTGCAATCTTGAGTCCACTGATCAGTCTATGGACTGATGTCTTAATTCAGTTAGTAAAAAAGTTTAAAGTCCCTTTAGATCTCTATGGGTTTAATATCGTAATTGGCAAACTAAAGTGACGTTAAAATTCATTCTGATGAAGATGAGAAAACACCGCCGTCTGGAACCACGTGGAACCATTTACACTCATCAGTCTCTCCTACACTGCTATAGTATCAATGTGTGCCATGAAAAACAAAAACAAATGCTGAATTTAAAGCTCTGAAAGATGATGTTGATTATCAAGATGGAACCATAACATGCTTCACATTGGTAACAAATTAGTATATGATAAGATAAATGATAAAATTACAGTAGTTTAATTCAGTTGCAAGACCATTATTGTAACCCTTCAACTGTAAACTGAAAATTTCAGAGCTGCAGAAAATGTCAGGTTATTTCTAGTTGTTGATTTGTTATGTATATGGCAGATGGAAAAATTAAGCATTTAGATTATAAAACTTTTGTATAAAAGAATTTTATAAATTTTATTACTATTTAATTACATATTTTTACTATTTTTAGTTACAGAAACCCATAAGTCTGCTAAAAAAAAAAAGAGGAAAAAATGTATAATGTTAATATAAAGTTCAAGATGTTATAGGTAGAAACACACAATACAACTGAATTAAAACATCAGTCCATGGAACCATCAATGGACCCAAGTTTGAAACACCAAGTACTGTACACCCGTTACCAGCCCTTATTTTTAGGTGTACTCGTATTCCCTCAAAGACAACGACCTAGTGATAAAAACATTATGAAAAATTTGAGACTTTTACATTATTACAGAATGTTGAAGTGATGAAAATTTTACTTGGTAAATCATTTTATATTTAATTCATACATTACTGTAATTATTACTATCAATTGCTGCACCTATTTCCTTTATTTACTGGACTTTTCCTATTGATCTGAGTTGTCCCTCTGTCCCATTTTACACTCTGAATTTGGCACATGCTTGTGGCTGTAGAAAACCAAGGACTAGCTCTTTATGTGCCGCCTGTTAGCCTAGTTGTACCCATTCTGTTTTATTTTAACTTTACCAATGTAAATATTGATCTGAATTATTTATTAGATACAGTAATGGGAAAGGCAAGTTTATTACAGAAAAAAACTGTAGTTGTCAAAGTATTTACTTACCGTATAAAACTCTGCTACTTGTTTCACATTCTCTGCATCATCAGCTCGAGCCAAAGCAGCAAGTCCATCAGGGTAGAGCTTGCCGCACTGAGGGTACAGTTTCTTTCGATCCTCGTTTGTTAACTCTGTCCCAAAGCTGTTCAGTGTGATTATAAATGCTCGACGGTCGGCTTCAAACTGAAATTGATTCGAAATATGGGAAATGTTGTTACAAACAGTTCAACATCACTAGTACAGATCAAGTGAACTTAGAAAATGGAGTTCGGAAAAAGTGATGAAGGGCCACACATTACCTACTGTCTCTGCAACAGGAGCCTAATGAAGTCGGATGGGAAAGAAACCTTCCAGTCACTGTTACAAGTAATGTGTAACCACAGGACCACACAAATGACAAGTGTGTAATTGTTTTTTTTATTGTGCGAGATATGCAACTGAAATTAGAATACAGGCATACCTCAGAATAAGAGTTTAATCCGTTCCTGGAGACGCCTCGCCTTCCGAAAACTCGCATTCCGAAGTTAATTTCCCCACAAGAAATAAAGGGAAATGAATTAATCCGTTCCTGACTACCCCAAAAACCCCACATCAAACTAAATTTTTATACCTAATTTACCTAATTCATCTAAATAAACCTACAAAACTGTGTTCCAGTTATTACTTACCTTGCTGTCGAGTGCTGTAGGCGTATGGAAGATGGTGAGGAGGGGGGAGGAGGAGAGGAGTTACTGTTTGGAAGGGGAGTCCCCTTCCATAATCACATCACATAACCCCATGCCTTGTAACACTATGGATACCACTTCTCTTTCTAAATTTTTCAAACCAGCCCCTGCTTGCCTTAAACTCTTTCTTATCTGCATCACTCGTTGCAGGGGTATTCTTTAGAAGGTCTTCGTGCAACACCCTGGCTTTCTCACAAATAATGGCCTCCGAAACACTATCACCCCTCAACTCCTTGTCGTGTATCCAAATTAATAACAACTTTTCCACTTCTTCAAGTATTTGTGGTCTTTGTGCCGTTAATGTTCTTACTCCTTTTGCCACTTTAGCACCCATAATCTTATTTTTCTTCTTAAGTATAGTGCATATTGTTGATGTGGCTTTGTTGTACTGCCTACAAAGTTCAACAACACGTGTACCGTTCTCATGCTTCCGAATGATCTCTTGTTTCTCCTCTATTGTCATCCTCACATGAGCTTTCTGGCCTTTATCCTTACCACTGGCTTTCTTGGGACCCATGGTGAGATATATAATAACAAATTGTATAGACAAATCACCAAAAATCCAACAAAACACTGAAAATCCGCGAGAAGAATTGATGTGGGGGTAGTCACTGAGCGCGAGACAATAATAAACTGAGGGGCGGAGGGGCGACGAACGCGCTAGGTCGGCTGTACGCGTATCAACAAACTCGCCTCCCGAAGTAACCCTCGCCTTCTGAGACAAATTTTTGGAGTAAATACACCTCGCCTTCCGAAAATCTCGCATACAGGGACAATCGCATTCCGAGGTACCACTGTATGTCCATATTTAAATAAAACATTTAGCTAAATTAGAAAGACTTCCAAAGCATACAACAAAATATGTTCCCAAAATGCTTAACTTATGGAGACTAGATTAACAGAAGCTTCTTAAACTGGATGATAAAATAAATTTTATGAATATGGTTACCACTTACGAGAACCTTCAGGCAAAAGCTGTGTATGCCAAAACTGGTGTTGGTTTCAAGTCAAAATTTAATAACGTGTACAAATATGGGCCACCACAAGCATAGCAGTTATCCTGAGACAATTTCTGTAATCTCCAACACATTCAGGAAATAGAAAGAACCCCCCCCCCATCCTTTCCCTGAAACCAGAACTAGAAACAAAGATCCATGAGCAAAATGTGCAGAAAAAACACCAGAAGGGGCAAAGAACCCCACAGAATTTGACAGGCATGAATCTTAAGCCATCACCAAAAATATGGAAGAGTCAAACGTCACTACTACAAAGGCAGAGGACTACTCTAGCTCCACATGTGCAGAGATTGGCAGCAGATCACAAAAGCAGTAAGAGGCACAAAAGCAGTAAGAGGACGGCCCACCTGCATCAACAAATGAACAGTGGACACTGCAACCTGAGGGTCAATTATGGAAAATGAATGGCTATGCAGAGAACAAATAAGGAAAAAACACAAGGGAAATCGGCTACTCAAACAGTTGCAGACACACATGCCGAGCACAAGGAAGCTTCTTGAATGAATAAACGCTATAAACCATGTAATATAATATATTATATAACAATGTAAACCCCCCAATGTGGAGCTATGTAAAATTTAAACAAACCTATGAAGCAGTCTTATTCCCAAAATGATGTGTGTTAGTGGCTTTACAAGAATGTAAAAACATCAATGCTATGTACTTAAGTAAATCCAATGTACCTTCTTGTATATATATAAATAAATAAATACAAAAATTCAAGGCAAGACAATATAAATTAAAAACTATTAATCACAACCAACACCACCTTAGCAATTACCTGGGCCAACAGAGATCTGCACTGCATAAAATGTTGGTATTTTTTTTACTTGTGTATACAGCATCATCTCTCTTTAATACTGTACTGTATTCAGTATTGGGTCTGACTGCCATCACAACATAATGCTGATGAATGCCAGAAAGAAAGTTGACCATTGTTTCCACCAAAACAAGACTAGATATGATTTTTTCTGAAGAATTTTGAATAAAGATTATCATTTCACAATTTTTTATAGTTTATTTTTTATTGTTTTGATTCACTGAGAGAAAGCTACAGTACTGTACATGTAGAGCCAATTATTAAAAGTTTGTTCCCAGACTACACTATATCCTTTTTTTTTTCCATCGAGATGTTAACCTACATTACTAAGACGAGAGTAACGTTTATTAATAAATATAAACAACAGACTTACGGCAAGAATCTCGCACATGACCTCCGCAGTGATGCCACCCAGTGATTTGCAGTAACTATAGAAGGATTCCAGGTATGCCTTGTATAGCGTGTTGCGGATGATCTCAATGTTCAGCTCGTCCAAATCTTGCTCACTCACACACTCGCCAAAGAAATCGGCTGCAATATAAATGCAATTACATAAACAAATGGGACCTCAAAATACATGAATATTTGATGTACAAAAGTTTATATATAAATGAATAAGTGTCTATGCAGAAGCTACCAAAGCCACAAGGTACACCAACTGTACAGTATGTATAGTAGTATTGTTTACAAATATAATTTGTAAAAGAATATGGTTCAACTAAAATCTTAAACTCATGGTCCATTTATAAGAACCCCTGTGACCATGATACTGAAAAAAATACTAATTAGGATCAAAGCATATTACAGAAATTGCATACAGTATACAGTATTTGTAAAGTTGAAATCACCCGCACACTTTCACACAGTTTCTCTGAACTTAAATTTAAACAGGATATCAAAATACAGTACAGTATGTTATGTCTTTAGTATAATCCTGTGCAATTCTTCTGTTAGCCTTAGAGGACACTACAGTACTCTAAAACCAGATGACCTGAAAATGTCCCCGTGGTGTAGTGGTTAAGATGCTCGCCTGGCATTTCGCGAGCACTTTGTCCTGGGTTCATATCCTGACCGGGGAAGATTTACTGGGCGTAAAGCCTTAACTGTAGCCTCTGTTTAACTCAACAGTAAAATGGGTACTTGCTTGTTAAACGATTTTTCGCAGGGTCGTATTCCAGGGAACATAGGATTAAGGACTTGTCCGAAATGCTATGCGTACTAGCGTGTGTAGAATGTAAGAACTCTTGTATATTTAAATAAAAAAAATAATTAAACAGCTGATAACCTCACACCATCTACACCAAGCCTGGTCATGTAAGGATAAACCTAGGGGACAACCACCTCCCTGTTTCATTCACACAACAACATAAGACTATAAATGAAACTTCAGAAGGCCTAGAGGCCCATCCGAGGCAGCTCCTACTTATATCCACCCAGACTCACATACATGTTTAACCTACACTTGAAATAGTTGCTTAAAGCTTTTTCTGCTTTGGTTTTATTTTAGGATATTAAGGGTAAATACAGTGCAATCAAATCAAGCAAGGCCAGACTATGTTAAATAACTAGATACTTTGGATCTTTGCTTTGTTGGCAGATTTAATTTCCAAAGGTATATATACATATTATACTATATATATGGATTAACAAAGATAACCTTGCAATAATAAATTTTTAAATATTATATTTGGTATGAATTCAAGTTACAGCATTCAAACAAATCTCCAACTAATATGTAAAGGTTACTCATAAAAGTATAACTTAAGAATACCAACCCAAAGGAGTATCAACCAAGACAGCATTGTAGAGCTCAGAGCTAGTTGAGGCAACATTGATGGCCTCAATCTGTTCAAATGTACCGAGGGGATGGCACTTTGGCATCAACTCTGATATTGGCCGCTGGTGGAGAGCCCCAGTGATGAGTAGCACAATATTGTCAATCATATATCTGGAGGGAATAAGGAAATTTAAACACCCAGTAGTAAAAATCACTTTATGCAACTTTGGTACCTGGTTTCCTCAATGATTGCCTTAAAAAAAATTTGACATACAATATACTGTAATTCCCTGACATTTTTACTATACATTATTTTCACACCCTCAAGTGTTGCTCTGACACACCTACCATACATAACCCGACCCTTCCCCTCATACTACAGGAAACCCAGACCCCTCCCATCTCATGCCACACAAGATCCGGGCGCCTTCACATGCCACGAAATGCCAGCCCACTTTGCTATGCATAACCCAGCTACATTTTACATTTCCTGGCTCTGATATTTTGCCTGTCTTGTTGAAGGAGGATATGAACACATAGTGTTCTATATGGGGAAAGAACTAATGATACGAATAGTATCAATGTGTGGAATAGTTTATTTTAAAGGTTCTCATTATTCACTATAATTTTTCCATCAGCTGCTACATTTGTTTTATTGTGCTCTATAAAAGATCGTCTGACATTATTCCTAGATCTTTGACTTGATCTTTCCACACTATATAGAAATAGCACACGTCTATTATGCACATGACCATCACTATATTCATTATGAAAGCCATCTGGAGGCAATACAGAGGTAACATACTTACCCATAAGTAATGTAGTCAAGGAAAGTTGCTAGGGGTTCTACAGCATGATTACGCATGTGTTGAAATTCTACCACTAGCTTGTCCCGCAACTTATCATCAATGACGGACACTTGTAATGGTGAAGCCTCGTTGGCCAAGAAGTTTCCATAGTCCGTGCTCTGTAGGTGCAGCTTTAAATCTGAGGGAATGATTATAAATTACTACACATACATTTTTTTGTAAGTATTTTATTCAGCAAGTCATAACACAAGTTAAATATTATTCCTAATAAATAAATTATTTCTTACCATCTAAGGTTTCACACTGTACTAGATTTAAGTAGTCAGTCTGCTTCAAGATGCCATTTTTGAAGCCTCGAACAAGACCCTCAAGGTAGCCGTTGTCGATGTTAAAAATACTGTCGAGCATCCTGCCTGTGGAAATAATATTGTTCTATATGTGATGTATGAATTTTCACACTGCAAGAACATGGCATCTTTAAACCTAAGGCAATGCTACAACAACATTATTCAACAAGGGTATTTAAAGATAAATCACTGGAGGCAGGTTCCCCCTATTTACTACTAGATGAACAGATGAACCAGGTGCCAGGAAATGTCCCCAAATGTGTGCCCCCCCCCCCTCACCAGAAACAAATTTGGCTCTAATCATTTGCGAGTCAAACCATGGAAATGCAGCTTTCATGAAGTTATGACTGGTAGTGTATTTCCAGTAGGGTAAAATTGGCAACATTCAACCACCTAAATTAAGTTACCCTATATTGTCCTTCATATCAGAATAAAAGATAAAATTACCTTTAATAATAATACTGTATTATAATAATAATAATAAATAATAATAACTCATTATGTGGGGGGGGGGGAGATATGTCCGTGGTCAGGTTTTTAAAATGAAGCTCATACAATATTTGTTTGTATTTTGCGACACATGAAACTCCAAAGTCTATTAACGAATCTGCGTGAAATAGTCATTGTTCCGAAATGAATATTGCGGGTTATGAGCTCGACAAGCGATAAAAACTGCCATTTTTATACTACCCGTACATATATCTTCGGTTTTACTTATATTATTTTTATGGTAGAGGCTTTACACTTAGATCCCATTTCTGTCTTTCTTCTGACATAAATAAATTTCATTTCATAAGTTATAAAGATGTTTTCAACAACATTCTTTGGGCATTTGTCTATTCCAAAATGGTTAACCATTTTGAAGATAACACATGGGTTCCTCTGGTGTGTTGACCATATGTTCACATCCCATCAAGAATTACACTTGAAGGCTAATAAAAAATATGCACACTATCAACAGTGTAAAACGACCTTTAAGCAAAAATTATGCCACAAAATTTTACTTTCATTCAATCTTACATGACTTACAATAATCACTCTTAGAATATTATTTGATCTTACAGCTCTTGTGATTATTTATTATTTAAAAGGTTTACCCAATACTTATAAAGATAATATATACCAAGTTCCCCCAAATTTTAGTTGGCACGTGAGAAAATTTTGCATCAGAGATTTGGTGATTTTGGCATGTGCACTTAAAAAGGTCGCCCACCCCTATTCTAGGCCCCTATTCTAGACGGACTTGTAGCCAATCAGCCTCATTAGTAAAAAAAATAGACAATGTAACACATTTAACACCATACTTTTCCTTAATAGACACTGTGTAGTTGACCAACATAGAAATTCGGCCAACTAACAATATGACCTAATTTCCGTAAATAAACACATTGCTACAATCTTCAGCGATACAAATGATCTCCCTGCGGTTATCATTCTTTTCCGCCACACTGAAACATGATACAAATCATTATAAGCTACCTGTATGAAGGGAAAAGTTGTGGAAGGAGCCTCTCCTCTGACAATGTTGTGGTGTGAGTGTTGAGATCGATCAGCTGTCATATGACAGGCCAGGCGGTGTATGCTGTCTCCTGATTGGTCAAGCTCGCTTCCTCCTGCCAATCACCGTCTAGTTCTCAAACGTGGTGGATCGTGCTTTTAAGAATTTGATGATTACATATGATTTTATTTAACTAGTATTTCTTATGCTAATTTTAGTCGACAGTATATATATTTTTTGATTATATAAAAATAGTTTTAAGTTCAAATATCCTCTTCAAAATAAGTAAAAGTTATAATGTAAGTTACAGGATGTGAGGTGTCCCGTCTTCTCAGTACTGTACAGTACTATAATAATAATTATATTAGTAATATTAATAATAATAATAATAATAATAATAATAATAATAATAATAATAATAATATTTTATTCACACGAAGGAACAATGGATTGGTGAGATCACATAAGAATGGTATTTGAACACTCAGCCAAAGCCACTAACATACATAGCGTTTCGGACAGGTCCGTAATCTAACATATAAAGCAAGATGAAAAGGTAGAACAAACTTCACAGATCTCCAGTATCACCTATTGATACTGGTAAGTATCAGCTACTGATACTGGTAATGGCTCCAAAGGCCCACCTTTTGGGTGGCTTAATCTTCATTAATCAATCAATCGGTAGGACAAACCCTTCATGTAAACTGCACCTGCTGTCAGGAAGGACAAGATGAACAGGCACATTGTAGCGAGGTTTTTATATCAACAAATAACTCCAATGTAAGTTGAGAGAGGTGATTACACTGGTAAAGATATATGTCTTATGTACTAATGTTGGGGGGAAGTGGGTAGTGCAATACTGTATACAGTTTGAAGCACGAGGGAGGAAACTATGAGGCTGAAATTTTTAGGTAGTTTTTGGTTTTACTTTCGTATAGGACATCTTTCCTGAGGTTATCTCGAGATGATTTCGGGGCTTGGTATCCCCGCGGCCCGGTTCTCGACCAGGCATCCTTTTTGTTACATCCCCCCCCCCCAGGAAGCAGCCCATAGCAGCTGTCTAACTCCCAGGTACATATTTACTGCTAAGGTGAACAGGGTCATCAGGGTGAAAGAAACTCTTGCCGATTTGTTTCCGCCTCCGCCGGGGATTGAACCCGGAACCTTAGGACTATGAATCCCAAGTGCTGTCCACTCAGCCATCAGGCCCCTGTATATACTATAGCTATATATTATAGCTCTATACTATAGCTGTTATAGGCCTAGGCACAGGTTGGACAATTTTTTAATTCATCTGGGAGCGATTTCCAAAAACTGGAACCTTTTATTTGCACGGAGTGTTTACACAGATTTAGTTTGACTCTGGGGAAATCAAAGATAAATTTATTACTGGTGCGATGCTTCAGAAGATGTATTAATATACGAAAGTACTTAAGGAAATTCCTGTTTCAATTTTCTTCCGTGGTCTGACACTGTCATATATATATATATATATATATATATATATATATATATATATATATATATATATATATATATAAAAGAGAGAGAAGTGGTAAATGGTAATTTTAATAGGACAAAATAAACTCATATACTGTACTCATACCCAGTTTAATTATAGCCACAAGTAATGTAGTTATACAGTAAGATGCATCACACAATAATTACCACACTTACATCATCACAGGTCACCAAAGGTCAATACACATAGCACATGTTATCATAGACTATTATAGCCACATAAGGACATGTAGTAATTATCACAAGGTACACTATATTCACCACTCTTCAGAATCAGTAGAGGTCACAATAGTTACACTGGACCTCTGTAGTCACTATAAATCAAATCATAGTTTGCTACAGATCACACCACAGTCATCACAGCTCACTAAAATAACCCCGGGCCACCAGAGATAGTTTTCTTCAAGGAGTGCCGGACCAACCAGCTGTGGTGGGTATGTGGGTCTGCGGGCCGCTCCAAGCAACAGCCTGGTGGACCAAACTCACAGGTCAAGCCTGGCCTCGGGCCGGGCTTGGGAAGTATAAGAACTCCCAGGACCCCCATCAAGCGCTAATGCTATGCATACTATTGGCTGTACAAGAATGTAACAACTCTTGTATATACAATATCTCAAAAAAAAAAAAAAAAAACGGTATCAAGCAGGTACATCAACAAGCACATTGTATATCCCGGTTAACACTCCATTCATCATTGTCACATTATTCATTAGTCATCAAGGGGGGCCACTCTTTTTGATTACCTGAGGTGGATATTGTTACTGGAAGTCACAATAGGTTACTACAAATCACTACAATCACCACAGATCTTACTAAGGTCACTACAATATAATGTAGTGACTCTTATGTAATCTTGCCAACTCATTGTACCTTCTTGCCAATATATTATTATTATTATACAAGTCAATATAGCCACCACAGGTCACACTAGGAACATTACAAGTCACTATAGATACTACAGTTCTCCCTAAGGTCACTACAAGTCATTACAGTTACTACTGGTCACACTAGAGCCACTATAAGTCACTGCAGTTACACAAGGTCACAGTAGGGTCACTACAGTTACTGTAATAACCACATGACACACTAGGGTTATTAATAGTCACTAAAGCTAACACAGGTCACACTAGGATCATTATTTGTCATATCAAGGTCATCCTGTAGTAACTGTCCAGGTCATGCTGCAGTAACTGTCCAGGTCATGGTGCAGTAACTGTCCAGGTTATACTGTTGTAATTGTCCAGGTCATGTTGCAGTAACTGTCCAGGTCATTCTGTATTAACTGTCCTGGTCATGCTGCAGTAACTGTCCAGGTCATGTTGCAGTAACTGTCCAGGTCATTCTGTATTAACTGTCTAAGTCATGCTGTAGTAACTGTCAGGTCATGCTGCAGTAACTGTCCAGGTCATGCTGCAGTAACTGTCCAGGTCATGGGGTAGTAACTGTCCAGGTCATGCTGTAGTAACTGTCAGGTCATGCTGCAGTAACTGTCCAGGTCATGCTGTAGTAACTATCCATGTCATGCTGTAGTAACTGTCAGGTCATGCTGCAGTAACTGTCAGGTCATGCTGTTGTAACTGTCCTGGTCATTCTGTATTAACTTCAGGTCATGCTGTAGTAACTGTCCAGGTCATGGTGTAGTATCTGTCCAGGTCATGGTGCAGTAACTGTCCAGGACATGCTGTAGTAACTATCCAGGTCATGCTATAGTAACTGTCCAGGTCATGCTGCAGTAACTGTCCAGGTCATGCTGCAGTAACTGTCCAGGTCATGCTGCAGTAACTGTCCAGGTCATGTTGAAGTAACTGTCCAGGTCATGCTGCTGTAACTGTCCAGGTCATGTTGCAGTAACTGTCCAGATCATGCTGCAGTAACTGTCCAGGTCATGCTGCAGTAACTGTCCAGGTCATGTTGTAGTAACTGTCCAGGTCATGCTGTAGTAACTGTCCAGGTCATGCTGTAGTAACTGTCCAGGTCATGCTGTAGTAACTGTCCAGGTCATGCTGTAGTAACTGTCCAGGTCATGCTGTAGTAACTGTCCAGGTCATGCTGTAGTAACTGTCCAGGTTATGGGGTAGTAACTGTCTAGGTCATGCTGCAGTAACTGTCCAGGTCATTCTGTAGTAACTGTCCAGGTCATGCTGTATTAACTGGTCAGGTCATGCTGTAGTAACTGAGCAGATCATGCTGTAGTAACTGTCAGGTCATGGTGCAGTAACTGTCCAGGTCATGCTGTAGTAACTATCCAGGTCATGCTGTAGTAACTGTCCAGGTCATGCTGCAGTAACTGTCCAGGTCATGCTGCAGTAACTGTCCAGGTCATGTTGCAGTAACTGTCCAGGTCATGTTGCAGTAACTGTCCAGGTCATGCTGCTGTAACTGTCCAGGTCATGCTGCAGTAACTGTCCAGGTCATGCTGCAGTAACTGTCCAGGTCATGCTGCAGTAACTGTCCAGGTCATGCTGCAGTAACTGTCCAGGTTATGCTGTAGTAACTGTCCAGGTTATGCTGCAGTAACTGTCCAGGTCATGCTGCAGTAACTGTCCAGGTCATGCTGCAGTAACTGTCCAGGTCATGCTGCAGTAACTGTCCAGGTCATGCTGCAGTAACTGTCCAGGTCATGCTGCAGTAACTGTCCAGGTCATGCTGCAGTAACTGTCCAGGTCATGCTGCAGTAACTGTCCAGGTCATGCTGCAGTAACTGTCCAGGTCATTCTGTAGTAACTGTCCAGGTCATGGTGCAGTAACTGTCCAGGTCATGCTGCAGTAACTGTCCAGGTCATGCTGCAGTAACTGTCCAGGTCATTCTGTAGTAACTGTCCAGGTCATGCTGCAGTAACTGTCCAGGTCATGGTGCAGTAACTGTCCAGGTCATGCTGTAGTAACTGTCCAGGTCATGGTGAAGTAACTGTCCAGGTCATTCTGTAGTAACTGTCCAGGTCATTCTGTATTAACTGTCCAGGTCATGCTGCAGTAACTGTCCAGGTCATGGGGCAGTAACTGTCCAGGTCATTCTGTAGTAACTGTCCAGGTCATGCTGCAGTAACTGTGCAGATCATGCTGTAGTAACTGTCCAGGTTACACATGTCACACAGGTCACAGGTCATGTTGCAGTAACTGTCCAGGTCATTCTGTAGTAACTGTCCAGGTCATGGTGCAGTAACTGTCCAGGTCATGTTGCAGTAACTGTCCAGGACATGTTGCAGTAACTGTCCAGGACATGCTGTAGTAACTGTCCAGGACATGGTGTAGTAACTGTCCAAATCATGCCGTAGTAACTGTCCAGGTCATGCTGTAGTAACTGTCCAGGTCATGCTGTAGTAACTGTCCAGGTCATGCTGTAGTAACTGTCCAGGTCATGCTGTAGTAACTGTCCAGGTCATGCTGTAGTAACTGTCCAGGTCATGCTGTAGTAACTGTCCAGGTCATGCTGTAGTAACTGTCCAGGACTTGTTACAGTAACTGTCCAGGACTTGTTACAGTAACTGTCCAGGTCATGCTGCAGTAACTGTCCAGGTCATTCTGTAGTAACTGTCCAGGTCATGCTGCAGTAACTGTCCAGGTCATGGTGCAGTAACTGTCCAGGTCATGGTGCAGTAA